CTCTCAATGCTCTGAGCCCACTTTCTCCATCAGTTAAGGGATGTGACATCTACAGTGATCCAAGCACACAGCTGGTGTACATTAAACTCCCCCCCTCCTAGAATCAGGCAAACCTACCATGACAGTGCTTCACTGGAGGAGGAGGGTGGGGTTGAGCAGCCACTATGTACACTGATAAAGGGCCCAGTAAATCAGTCTTATCTCTCAGGAGTGAAAGCTTCATCAGCCAGAATCCAGCAAACACACATATACCTTTCACAAGCATGGATTCCTGCAATAAGCAGCAGGGAGCCAGAAACAAACTGTGCATCCACAAAGAACTAACTGAACCCCTTACATCCACACAGTGAGAGATTTGAGTGCTATTAAAAGAAAGTGTTGACTTACTTAGTAGAGTACTTGCCCAGCATGCATGAAACTCTGGATTTTATCCCCAGAACCATTTAAAAGGCATCATAGTGGCATATTCTTGTGATCCCAGCACTCAAGAGAGGGAGGCAGAATGATCAGAAGTTCAAGGTTATCCTCAGCTATGTAGCAAGTTTGAGGCCTGGTTAGGACAGGAATGGGAAAGGGGGGAAGGAAGGGGGATAGAAAGTAACAGAGATATAGAGATGGAGAAAGAGATGAGAGAAGGGAGAGAGAGTGTAGAAGGGCAACATTGGGAGAGAAAAAAGATGTGTAATGCCCTCTCTGGACAACCATAGATAATTGCAGTTTGTGGAAACATAGATGGTGGCAAAGGTAGATGAGGTAAATGGGGAGTCAATGGCAGAGTGCTTGCCCAAGTGAATAGGCCCTGGATTAGATTCCCAGTAATGGGTGAAGGGCAACAAAGAGGGGTAAATTGGAGATACACAGTTCATATGTTGATGACAGGTAATATATTAATAGATGCTGGTGCTTATAGATGATAGGTATGTGAATGAAGGGTGGTATGTGGGGCATGCTCATATTGAAAGAGTTAGTTTATTACTGTGTGTGAGCATGTACATGTGGGCATAGATACATAGATACGTGTATGCCAGAGCACATATATGGAGGTCAGGGGACATCTTTTAGAAGGCAGTTTTCTCCTACCATGCAAATCCCAAGATGTAAACTCTAGTTTCAGCTTGCACGGCAAGCACTTTCACCGAGTTATATCACTGGCCCTGAAAAGGTAATTCTTTAAATCATCTAGTGTGCATCTGTGAATGTACGCCATGAAAGCAGAAGGGGACTATCTGTAGAACCATAGGAAATGACAAGAGAAATGGAAGGAGAGGAAAAGGAAGGGGAAAGACAGATATGAACAATGTACAAATATATTTGTCATTGTGGGACATGTTTTAAATTGCATGTATATGTGCACACAAATGTGTGTGTGCTTGTGCATGTGTGCATTTGTGTGTAGGCGCCTACAGAGACCATAATAGTGCATCAGATACCCAGGTGCTGGAGTTAGAAGTGATTGGAAGCTGCTTAATGTGAGTGCTGGGAACTGAACCCAGGTCCTCTGCAAAAACAGGAAATGCTTTTAACCACTGAGCTATGTCCCTGACCCCAGAAACACATTACTTTTAGCTGGGTGAGGCAGCACACATCTGCAGTCTTGGCAGTGAGGCAGAGGTGGCAGGATCCGTTGAAGGTCACCTTCAACCACACATCAGGTTCCATGGCTAGCCAAACCATGTCGCAAAAAATATATATATACATATTTTAATTTTGTACACTAACTTTTAAAAAAATTAAGCCCTGTTTTTGTACGAAGTATGTCAAAGAATGATTCATTAAGTAAGGACTCTAGAAGCTATTATAGGTAGGAGGAACTTGGTAGCATTTCCTCCAAGTATCCAGCTGCAACCAAACATCAATTTTTTGCCCAAATTTGTCCAGTATAGCTCTGTTCAGCCAAAATAATTATACCAATCAAAGCAGTCTATTTGGACTGATGAGATAGCTCTCAGATAAAACACCTGCCTCCAAGCCTGATGTCCTAGTATAATCCTCAAAATCCATGTGGTGGACATAGAGAAATGACTCTTGCAGTTGTACTCTGACTACCACAGGCAAATGCATGCATACAATCAATAAATGAATGTTTTTAAAAAAGTCAGCTCACTATGGGCTGGTTTCAATGAAGCATAGTATATTGACTTAAGAGTCTAGTGGTTAATAGTACTATCATCTACTGAGCAAACTGGGCACAGCACTTGGCCCCGATTAACTTCTGTTTTCTTAGCTAGAAAGTGGGAGACTGCTCCCTAGTGAGAATTAAGGTGGATAAGAGACTAGGATGCCTGTGGACTGAGCTGGGGGCTCCATTGGAGACCTAGGACAGGGTTCTCTGTCCATGGTGCTGACAGGCTCACCCATCACACCAGCCCCAAGATATTTTATGAATAGGTTTCAGAACCAAACAAGTTCAGAAAACACTTGAGTACTGTATCTCAGCTCTTCCTGCTCCTGCTCTTTCTCCTTTTCCCATGGTCCCCTCCATCACTGGACAACATACAGTATGCTCTGCAGAGATGCAGCTGTGTGTCACTAGCTGGGAGCCGGTTTCCACAGGGAAGGGGTGTACCATTTTCAAGTCTTCCAAGAGGCACAAAAACGGGGGAGGGAGAACTTGGCACCATGAAACACGCCAAGCACTGTTGTGTGTATTAAAAAACTTGAATGTGGCATGTTCCCAAGTTACTTGAGCATAGAACCCAGTATTCTCCACACATCAAAACACCCTCCAGGACACACAGGGAAGCAGATGTACTCTATGAGTATTCCTGGATACACACTGCACTCAGACAGGGATGTGAGGAGGGTGAAGAGGCTCTTTCCTTCTCTCCCATGTCTGTTCTACACTCCCTGTAGGCCCTCTCTAAGCAACTGCCATACCTTGCTGGTGTGTCTCCCTTCACCCCAGAGGACAAGCTTCACAAGGACACAGAGAGGCTGGCTGTCAAGGTCACGATGTTCCTGGAACTTAGCTGAGCCCCTGGTATATAGCACATGCTCAGTAAACAAAACCAAGTGGGACTTGACTCAAGGTAGAGTGTGGATTTGGGGATGTGGATTGGGGTGGGGAGTAAATTTGGCTTCACACTGGGATTGGAGTCAAACTGTCTCCATGCTAGCTGTAGCAGCAGCAGCTCCAAGAAAAAGTACAGAGTTGGGCTGTTAGATGGTTCAGTGTGTGAAGATGCTTGCTGCCAAGCCTGCCACACCAGATTTCAATCCTGAGACTCAAGTGATGGAAAGAGAACTAACTCTTGTAACTTGTCCTCCATATGTGTCACGATGTATGCACACACACAATGTAAAAAAAAAAATTAGAGAAATTCATAGCATCATAAACACAAAACCCCTAAATGTATGCTGTACACAAAAGCTGGTGCCAAATGATACGTTGTTCCCACTGCCACCACCTGTCTTCAAAAATTGAGGTTGTCATTTGTTCTACATGTGTCCACCTGTACAATGGGACAGCAGGCTAGGGACTAAGTAGTGAGTCCCAAGGGAACACATGCCTTTCTTCACCCAAGCACCCAATTAAAGACTGAGGTTGGCCTGGCGCTGGGAGGGAGGCGGAGGTAGAGGCAGGGACACCACAGCCTCAGCACAGATACACTGCCTCAGTAAATTCTCTATTAAATGAGTTACATTAAGTACCTGAGGCCCAAATGAGTAGCTCAGAGCTGGGTTTTAAGCACCAGCTCCTCACCATTGCATTCAGTTCCTCTTTGGGGGAGGTGCAGAGCTTCATGATCACACACGTGGCTTAGATCACCTTCAACAGCTCATGAGAGGATAGCTCTTCCTTCTACAGAGAAAGCCAAATCAAGGACTAGAGAGAGTGACTCACCTTCCCACAGTAACAGCCTGTAAGAAACAGAGGGGAAACATCTTCAGTTTTTCCATCTCCTGGTGGTAACCTCTGGCTTATCTCTGCAAGAACACAGTATCTCCCCTCCATCTCTGGCCTCCAACAATGTCCAAGGTCAGCAGCATTTTGGTAGAAAGAACCAAAAAGGGTTTTAGTTTTTGCTGCTGTTGTTTCTTAAGGAGTTTGAGACAGGATTTCTCTATGTAGCCTTGGTTGTCCTGGAGTCCTTTTATAGACCAGGCTGCCTCTGCTTCCCGAGGTACTAGGATTACAGGTGCGTGCCACCACGCCCAGCAAACCAAAGACTTTAAGCAACATTTCTGCAATCTTTACTAACCTGTGCCTACCACACACAAAATACCACCTCTCCTTTGGAACAGTACCTACCAGATAAGCTAGATCAATACCACTCAGCAAAGCTAGGCAGTGACCACTTGAGATTTCTGACCTACAACTACTGATAAATTTTCCCAAGGGTGGTCATGCCCTGGCGCACCAGCTGCCCAGTGACCCTCACTTTTGACCCTCCCCTTCAGATGAGACAGAACAAACAGACATAAACAGGCACACTCAGGACTCATACTTCCACCCACAACACCCATTAACAAGAAGTCTCCTTACTCCTTGGGATGGTTGGAAGAAACCTACAGTTCATACCTCGCTTTCCCAGACTAGGCTGAAAGTATTCCCTGGCAGAGTCAACAATACAAGGCCCAGGAACAGGCAACATTGAACTGGGGGACTTCACTGGACAGTAACAGCCACCAAGATGCAGCCTGCTCTGCAGGGAATGCAGATATATGGCTAGCTAATAGCCAGAGCTTTGTACAAGAGAAGGGTGGTCATTTTTTTACATCCTCCGTGAGTCAGAAGGCAGAAAGGATCTCTGGGAGCTACACTTTTCCATGGAGATGTTAGCTCCTAGAACCCTTTCCTACCAGCAGCACAAGTTCCTCTGAACCATGGTCAGCAAGGAGCTCCTCAGCAAACAGGCCTCTTTTCTGGAACCTGGTGACAACACTCTGGGCCCAGCAGGGCCATGCCTCATCTGGCACTATCACTTGTAGGCACCAAAGTGGGGACAGCTCAATTTAACCTCTTTCCCTTCATCCCAAACTCAAAACGCAGGCAGTGCTGGGACAATTGAATAGTGCCATTTATTGCCCCCACATCCCTCTTCCACTGCCAGGGCAGGGAACACACAGGACCCCGTCCTCTCAATGAGACCGTGCTGGGAGCAGGAGGCTACTTTTTCACTCCTCTGCTACTGTAAATCCAGGAGGGAGAGGAACGACTTGGGCTAGAAAATCCACAAGGACCCGTGGGGCAGAAAAATTAACGGATGGGAGCAGTCAAAAAAGTATGATTTAAAGAAAATTCTAGAAGGGAAGGAAGACCCTCTCGATGCACAAGGCCTGGATTCCCTCCATTCCTTAGGACACCGTGATCCCACACCTGTAGTGGGGGTTGGCCTCTCCCTTGAGGGTCTCCTGCTGATTGATCTACAGTTCTCTCACACACTGTCTCTGGCTCCCAGGCTGGGAACCTACAGAGTGCTGGTCCGCTGGGAGGTAGGGCAGGTCAGCAGAGAGGCTGTGGGCAGTCCTGAGAACCTGCCCTGATGGCTGCGGGTCCTCTCACACCCGAGACAGCATGGGGCAAGGAAGGAGGGAGACGAAGGCGTTGCTCCTTTCGGTCTGGCTCTCCCTGGGCCTCGTGGTCTTGCTTGCTGGTAGTCCCCACTGAGCCCGAGGGGCCCTGCCCACCCCCCGGGCGTCCCCATCCCTACCGGGCCTCCCCACCCCGACACTCGGCACACCGCCCACCAGCCGACTGGTCCTCGCCATCGTCCTCCTCGCCTGCCCGATAGAAACTCTGTCCGCAGCTGCTGCAGACAGAAGGCGCCCCAACTGCGTGGATCTTCTTGTGTCTCCGCAGCGCAGCTCCCTGCACGAAGCCCTCACCACACTCCACGCAGATGTGTGCAGGCTCCTCGCCACCCACTGCCCCCAACCCATCCCCATGCTGAGCGCGCTGGTGGGCCAACAGCCCGGCCCAGTGACCAAAGCCCTTCCCGCACTCCATGCACACATACGGCTTGGGCGCCGGCGCCCGCCGCGACCTCGGCCCCGCGGCCCGCGGCCCCACCCCGGCCAGGGCTGCAGCCGCTGCAGCGCCATCCCCTGGCGCGCCCACCACAATGATGCCCTCGCCGTCGCCCACTGGGATGGCGATCTCGCCATCTGCAGCCGCTGCCTCCTCAGGTGCCTTGGCGCGCCGCACGCTCGCTGCCAGCACTTTGGCTGCCACACCCGGCCCTGACAGCTCTGGGTGCAATCGCAGGTGGCGCGCCAGGCTCTTAGGCTGGCTGAAACCGCGGCCACAGCGCGGGCACACGAAGGGCTTGAGACCGCTGTGCGAGCGCCGGTGCTTAGCCAGGCTCTTGCTCTGTGTGAAGCTGCGGCCGCAGTCGGGGCAGGTGTAAGGCTTCTCGCCTGTGTGGATGCGCTGATGCTGCATGAGGTTGGAGCTCCAGCTAAAGCGCTTGCCGCACTCAGAGCAGGCATAAGGCTTCTCGCCCGTGTGGATGCGCCTGTGCTGCACCAGGTGTGAGCTCTGCGAGAAGGTCTTGCCGCAGTCGCTACAGGCGTTGGGCCGCTCGCCTGTGTGCGTGCGCTGGTGCCGCGTCAGCTTCGACCAGTGGCTGAAGCTCTTGCCGCACTCGTTGCAAATGTAGGGTGCAGGCGGCCGCGGCCGGGGTGGAGGCCCGGGAGGAGGTGCAGACTGGGGTGGGGATAGCTTGGTCGGGGGCCAGCTGGGGACGTCATCGTCATCCATGATGAGAATGCCCACTGTAAAGCAAGAGGGAAGGAGGAGGCATATCAGAGGTAGCAGGCCGACAGGGACCATCCACATGCAGGCTGCCAATGGATTCCAGGTTACTGAGTAGCACGGGGCAGCTCATCAGGGCCAACGATAGAGGTGCTAGAAGAGGCTCCAGCACAAAAGACACCTGAAACCCAACAGGGATAGGAGGGGCAGGCCTGCATGCTCTGAAGTAATGCTGTCACATTTGGGCAATCCTAACGAAGGGTGGGAAACAGAAAATGAGGGAAACAAGTTGGACAAACAGGATAAGACACCAACTTGGGAGGTATGCTAGCCCTACTATCTGGGCATGCAAGGGCCCACATAAAATTTGCCTCTACTACAAATTAAGTTGCATTGGCGCCTCCACCACCCATCACCACAACCACCACAAAGAAAGGACAACCACCGTGTAGGGACCTTTGTCTGGACAACTAAAAAACAACACCCAACTCTCAGGGTAGCCCAGTCTTTCTACATGTGCCTCCTGGCCAAGCCCAGCTTGTCCTGCTCTTGAGGCATGGGTGCACTCTCCCTGACATCTGCTCTCAAGAGGCCTGCCCACCCCTCAAACTTCCTCAGCCTTCCCATTTCACAGCAGAATCAAGGCCCACAATCACATGCCAGGGCCTCACCAGGTACATCCTGCCAAGAAACTCAGTTAACACCCTGAAGTCTCCTTTCAAAGCCAGGCTCTCATAACCCACTGGAAGCTTTCTTACCCTCTCACCAGCTCTAAGAACCTGTGGGGCTCTGTGCCCTGGCTACACTTTTCCACAGAAGGAATGTTCCAGTACTTCTGGTGAACCAGAAATTAGCAAAGATCTGTAACAGCCAACTGGATCTCCTGAACAATCACATCAATGGTCACTGGCACAACATACCTGCAGCAATTCCTATCTCAGAGTAGCCAGGGAGATTCTCCCAGCCTTAGGACCTTTCAGTCTTCACTCTCCCATCCTCCCAACTTCAGTTGTACTTTCATAAGCTCAACCAGGTCACTCTCCATGCCCAAGGCTGAGACTCACTAGTCTAAGGCAAAGACTATCAGAACCACCCAAGTAAAAAGCAAGTACTAGCACAAAGTGGGCAGAAATACTAGTATGACATTTACTGCTGCACTATTCATCACTAGAGCCAAGAAGTAAAGCCAGCCTAGAAACCCTTCCCCAGAAGAACAGATAAAGAAATGCCATACATATATACAATGTACTTTTATTCAGTAGCAAAGAATGAAATCTACAGGAAAGTAGAAGAAACTGGAGATTATGTTAAGTAAAAGAAGCCAGTGTCCAGCATCTGGCTCCCGCTGTCACAGCCATTGCAGTACACTGAGCTCCAGAGACAAGCGCCAGGGCCAATGGAGGCACTGGGTGACTCTGTGCCTTGCAGACGAAAATCAACTAAACATGAACAAAGGAGATCCTAAGAAGCCTGAGAGGCAAAATGTCTTCATATGCATCTTTGTGCAAACCTGCCAGAAGGAGCACAAAAGAAGTACCCGGATGCTGTAAGCTTCTCAGAGTTCTCCAAGAAGTGCTCAGAAGGGAGGAAGACCATGTCTGCTAAAGTAGACAAGGCAAAGGCTGACAAGACTCGTTATGAAAGAAAAAATGAAAACCTACATCACCCCAAAAGGGGAGAGCAAAAAGTTCAAGGACCCCAATACATCCAAGAGGCCTCCTTCAGCCTTTTTCTGTTCCGAGTAGTGCCCCAAAATCAAAGGAGAGCACCCTGGCTTATCCATTGTTGATGTGAACAAAATAGGAGATATGGAACAACACTGTTGCGGATGACAAGCAACCTAAGAAGGCTGACAAGCTGAAGAAGTATGAAAAGGACACTACTGCCTACAGAGCTAAGGAAAACCCAATGCAGCTAAAAAGGGGATGGTCAAGGCTAAAAAGAGCAAGAAAGACGAAGATGACGAGGAGGATGAAAAGGACGACAAAGAGGAAAAAGGAAGACAAAAATGAAGAGGAGGCTAAGTTGGTTCTTAAGCAATTTTTTTTTTCTTCTCGATAAAGCATTTAATCCCCCTGTACACAATTGAAATGTAAGGCTGTATAAGATGTTTTTAAACTGTACAGTGTTTTTTGTTTTGTTTTGTATAGTTAACACGCTACTGAATGTGTCTTTAGATAGCCCTGTCCTGGTGGTATTTTCAATGGTCACTAACCTTGCCTGGTACAGTCTGGGGGTTGTAAATTGGCATGGAAACTTAAAGCAAGTTGTTGGTGCACAGCACAAATGAGTTATATATGGAGATGGTGGGATTTTTTTCTTTTTTTTATTTTTATTTTTTTAATCTTCAGTTGTCTGTGATGCAGCTTATACGAAGAATACCACTCTGTAATTGCAAAAAATAAACAATAATGTGGCTGTTTTGTTGACATTCTAAATACTTAAGTAAATACAACTTTATTAGGAAACAAAAAACAAAAAAAGCCAGTCTCCAAAACATATCACTTTTCCTCTCATATTAAGGTAAATTTAAGTATGTATGGGTTTGGGGGATGTGGCTCACAGGGTAAAAGCACTTGCTGTGAAAGGAAGAGATCCCAAGTTCAAATCCCTGACAATCACATAAAAGCTAGGCCTGAATCTCCAATGCTGGCCAGTGAGTAGAGACCAGTGGATTCCAGGAGCTCCCTAGCAAGGTAATCTAGCTAACACATGGAGCTTCAGTTTCTGTGAGACCTTGTCTCAAACTACTAGATAAAGTACAATAAAAAAAAAAAAAAATCTGCCTCTGGCCTGCATGCATACATATACATACACACACACACACACACATACACACACATTTTAATACTCAATTTGGGAGAGGAAATTAGAAAGGGGATGCGGTACAGGGGCAGGGAAGAGTTCTAAAAGGGGATGTGGACAGAAAATGAGGGAATAGAATACTTAAGAAAGCAGGAGGGAATATTTAAGAGGGGGAAGGGGACCAGTCCCAACAGCGGTGGAGGAAGTGGGTAAAAACAAAATGCAACAATACATGTGTGTTCAAGTGTCATAATGGGACCAGGGAGATGGCTCAGCAGATAAACGTGCTTGCTCTAAGCCTGACAATCTGAATTCAATCACAATACCCACGTGGTGGAAGGAGAACACCAACTCCCTCAAGCTTTCTTCTGGCTTCCATGTGTATGATAGCATGCTTGCCCCAACACACAGACAAAATACAATCTAAAACATTTACGCTTAAAACTTCAGAGTGCCAGTGTACTGTATGTTTGAACAGTATTTGCAGTCATGACACAGAACTGAATGTTGAAAACAGCAAGACACAGGGACGCAAGGTGACAATTTCGGGAAGAACTGTCTAAGAACTGGAAAAGGCAATAAGCAAGGAGTGCACTGGTCAGGCATGTTCCTTCCTTAGGCTCTGACTTTTTCTAAGTTGTCTAGTTATTCAATTTACTGTGCCTGTTTTGTATATAAGCAGACTTTAAGTGACAGGAGGGCTAATCACTTAAAAGATGGTGTTCCTTTTTAGCAGATGTCTGGGCTCCCCAGGGACAGGCAGTTTTGAAATGCAATGGGGTTTGGAAGTGGTAGTATGGGCATTTACCAGGGGTACTGCAGGATCAGTTTTGGTCAGGTTCTCTCAGACATGCTGACCCAGGAAAAACAGGGCTGGCAACCTTTTCTCCCTTAGTGTAGTCTTCAGAGACAGCTCAGTGGGCACTTGTTACCTTTGCAGAGGACTTAAGTTTGATTCCTAGCACCCACATGGTGGCTTAAAACCATGTAACCCCAGTGCCAAGGGCTCTGACACCCTCTTCTCACCTTCACAGGCACCAGGCAAGCATGTGATATACATGCATGCATTCAGGCAAAACACTTATACCCAAATTAAAATTTTTTAATATTTGAATAGAGGCCATATGGCTCTGCCGGCTTCACAGTATGCTCAAGGCACCTCTGGAACAGTGGACTGGCAGCCCACCTTTGTAGCCCAGTCTTGCCAAAGACAGTCCTGAGATGTCCTGCCCTCTCCCAGAAAGAAAGGCTCCTTGTATCACCTTGAACAATGGACCCTCCTGCTTTCTTCTCTCTGGTAATCTATTCCCTCATTTCCTGTTCATTTGCCCCTCTTAGACATCTTCCCTAACCCTGTCCCCGATCCCCTTTCTAATTTCCTCTCCCGCTTTGAGTATTTAAATGTGTGTATGTATGTATGTATGTATGTATGTATGTATGTATGTATGTATGTATGTATGTAT